CAGGAAGAGAAGATGTGTGCTGTTCTGCCAGCAAACAGGGCACACAGTGATGGTGGTGGTGACACCCAGTGGGCCGGACCTGGACCCTGGAGAGAGCCCTCCAGGGCCATACTTCCCTGGGTGTGCTGTGGGCACACTTCCCTGACCAGCTCTTTCCCAGGGGTGTCCCATGCTGCTTGCTCTGCTGTCTCAGCCTCACTGTGGCTCCTCTTCAGCATGCACAGCCCTGTGCTGTGGGGCCCTGTGGAGGCCTCCCCATGCACTGTCGCAGCCGTGCTCAGAGCCCCAAGCCCCAGACCTGGCCACACAGACACTGTCTCCTTTGGATAGCCCGTGGCTTCCTTGCCATGGCCCCCCACCAGTGGGCCCTTCCTGTCCCCTTGCCTCACTCAGTGGCACTGTCCTCCTTCCACCCAGAGGCCAAAGTGGGAGAGCTGCCTGCCAGCCAGGTCTCCCTTTCCCACCTCCTCCCCCTGCAACTGGCCTTGGAGTCTTGGCTTTCAAGTAACAACAGCTTAGTCGGCACTTACCGGTGCTTACCCAATACCAGGCATTTCTCTAAGGGCTTTGCACACAGTAGTAGCTTGTTTAATCCTCACAACCCTTTGAGTGGGTACCAGTGCTGTCTCCACTTGGCTGGCAAGGATACAGTTCCAGAGAGGGTGGTAACTTGCCCAGGGCCACACAGCTTCTGGTAAGTGTGGAGCCGGCATTAGGCACAGGCAGATAGGCCCTGGACTATGTGCTTCTCAGAAGAGACTGCTTCCTCGCCACCACCACCTCCCCTCACTCAGACATCCCCCCCCCCCCCCGCAATCTCTCCCCTGAAACACTGCCTGGCCCAGGCTCTCTCCTGCAGACCACCTTTCATTTCAAAATGAAATCTGGCCTCCTCACTACCACCTGCTTTGCCTTTAATAGCTCCATCTCCCATTCCTGTGCATAGGTGGAATCCTCTGAGCTGCTCACAGGGCAGTCCAAGGCCCCCAGAATCTGCCATCGCCATGCTCCTGTGTCATCACCCATCTCTCTGATCTCCTTTCCCCACCCCACCCCCCGCCGCCCAGGCGCCATCCTCATGCCCCAGCCCCTTGCTCTCCCTGACACACTCCTACTCACTGTCAGCCAAGGGGTGAGCTGGGCGCCCCAGGCGTCTGCAGAGCATTGTGACCAGCTGCCCGTGGGTCTGCCCCCTCAGAGACCAATCATGACCTCTCTCTTTTCCTGGCACACGGAAAGCCCTTGAAGGATGGGGGGAAAAATGGAATGCATTCTGGGGAAGATAAAGTCCTAAGCCTAATGAGAATGCTTTATTATTAATAGCAATCACTCACATTTATTACCGAACACTTATTCTGTGCCAGGCTCTGTTAGAAGCACTGACGTTTTATCCTCACGGCAGCCCCACGAAGTGTCTGTGGCCGTTGTCAGCACTTTAAGGAACAAGTGGCTGAGGCTCAGGGAAGTCAAGCAACTGCTCAGGGTCACACAGCTGGAAAGAAGCAGTTATCTAGTCCAGAACCTAAGCTGGCAGACCTCTGCCGTCTGACCCTGACGCCCGCCGGAGCCCGGGGGGCGGGGGGGGGGCAGTGGATGCTTAGGCAGCACTGAGGGGGACATGCCTTCCTCCTCTGCCTAACGAGTTGCTGCACTTCCTGCTGTAATCAGCCGTGAAGCCCTAAGTGAGCAGACTCAGGTCCCTTGTCCCTGACTGTCACACGGGCAATTGGGGCCCTCCAAGCATGAACTGTATGATGAGCGAGGCTCAACTCAACCCAGAACCACATAGCTCCTCTGAGCTGGACCTGGAAGGTCTCCTTTTGGAATCAGAGGCTCAGAAGTGCGTAGCATCATCCTCACCTCTGTGGGTGGGATTGGGCTGGAGGGGTGACCCCTTCTAAGCCAACTGCTATCTCTAAGGGTCCTTCCTCCATCCAGAGCAGACCCCATTGATCCAGCCTCCCCCAAATATACCCACCATCAGGCCGTGGCAGGCATGTGTCTGACCCGGCACATACAGTTATTGGCTGTGTTATGCCAATAATTCCATCGTCCCCATGGGGAGAGAGTGGTCCAGAGTCAGAGCCAGAAGGGGAGGCCCGGGGAGGGCACGGGATGTGCCCCACCACACAGCCAGGGCTGGCAGAGCAGAAAGCAGACATGCGTGCTCAGGGCCCAAGGTTTGTTCTGCCTCCCAGCCCTGCTCCTTCTTCACCCTCAGGAACTTCTGGGGGCAGGTCCCTGGGAAAGGGGTGCCCAGACCTTAGTTAATGCTGGGGACCCTGGCCTGGGGGAAGGACTGGCCATCTGTGCTGGGGCCAGTGAGCCACATGCTTTCATGCCGTACCCCACAGGCAGACATGTTCTTTGAGTTTCTCTACCGCAACCCCATCTGCCCTCTCTGGCTGCACCTCCCTGGCTAGCAAGACAGCACAGGGGCCCTCCTCAGTACTTCCACCTCGGTATTTCCTGCTCACTCCAACCCTCTGTTCTTTCTTTGCCTTCTTCCTCTCCTCCACCTTCCACATAGTAGGCAGTTTCTAAGAACGGCAGCTCACAGAATCTCACAGTTGGAAGATCTTCCAGGCCCACTGTCTGCCTGTGCAGAAGTCCCTGTGCCATGTCCCTGATGGACATTGATCAGCCTCAGGGGGCTTGGATCCTTCCAGGGACAGGGAGCTCACTATCCCATGAGACAGCCTTTTATTGCTATGCAGGTCTGACTTATGCTAAGAAATTACCAACTCATTTTCAGTTCCACATCTTCCTCCCCCAAATTCACTGCTCCTAGTTCAACCAATGTTCAGGGGAAACACTGTGTCCCTCAGGGGCTGGAGATACAGAGATCAGTCATTGCCCACATCCCCAAGTGGCCACAGACCACAGGGTAGGCAGACAAGGATGTGAGGGGACAGGTGCTCAGGTGGGGGGACTGTAGTTGTCCTGGGAAGGACAGCTGACCTTTCTGGGACAGCCAACAGATCTCTTCCCCAGGATGCCTGTGAAAGCTTTGGTTCTGGCCACACCTGGGTTTGAATTCCAGATCCTTCATCTATTAGCTGCGACCTTGGATGTGGCTAGGCTGCAGCGTCCTCTGTATAAAACTGGAATAATGGATGCACAGTCTCGTGGGAGAATGGAAGGTAGAATACATAAAGCACTTGGCACATGGGAGCTCAACAATGGCAGTGTTGTTAGTGTTGTTAATTGCGCACCCCAAGATGGAATTAGCATTTAGCACATCTGCACTCACAACATTAAAACGCTGACCTTCAGATCAGGACTTTCCACCTGCCCTCAACTAGGAGTCAGCAAAGAACAGTTGGGAATGTCACTCTGTTCTCTGTCTCCTGTCACTTCCTCTCAGAAATGAGAACCGGAGAGAGACCCAGCTGTGGGCATCCTGACCACACACGAGTTAGAGCATCTTTTCAGCAAAGAGGAGGGAGCAGGTGGCCTGAGCTTTGAAGAGAATAACATCTGCTCTTATGTGGCCTCTTTCAGAGCTATAGGGAACCTCAAAAATGTCTAGTTGAATACCCCATCTAATGCTCGGAGTAAAGTCAAGATCTCCTGGAGAAGCAAGCCGCTATTTCCCCATCCCACACTCACAGCCGACGTCATTCCATCAATCATGAGCCTCCCGCAGTGTGGCCTCAGCTTCAGATTCAGTCTCAACTCAGCCCCTTGACAGAAAAGATAAGGATCCCTTGACTAGCCTGGCTCTACAGCAATCCAGACAGGCCTCCTGAGGGAGGCGGGATTTCAGGATCTTTTTAAATGGTGGGTGAATCACAGTGAGCAGAAGTATGGAGAGTAGGTCCTAGGTGTGGAATATGGGGGTTTTCTGGGCATCATCCATGCTGAGTTCTGCATGTGGCCCGGAAGAGACACCTCCCCACCTGCTCTGCTTGGGTAAGGCAGAGGAGGGGAAGAAATATGAGAAAGGGAATGAGGTGGACTCAAGTGGAGTCAAATGGGCATGGGAGAAGGAGAGCAAGGAATACAACTGTGAGCAGAAAGGGCCAGCCTGCTGGGTGAGGTAGAATTTGGTGGGAGGCACCTGCCAGGGCTCCTGTCCCTTCACCTCAGGCTTCCAGGAGCTGAGCCTAGGGCAGCGATCCCTTTCCGCTCCAGCTGGGCTCCATCACCCTGACAGGCTGTTGAGATAACATAAGCCCAGGAAATTAATTATAGAACTTGCTTCTCACACTATGTATCCGCCCCACGAAGCAATAGCTTCTTCTATCTTCCCCACATCCACCCTGCTGTCCAAGTGCATGTGGTGAGGGAGGGGATCAGGGAGGCAGGGGTCAAAATCAGGTACCACCTCATGGCATCTTTCAGTTGTGGCTCCCTGTTGCTCCCTGTCACCCAAGGCCTGACAGGCACACTTTTAAAGGCCTAGAGGCTCTTTATTATTTGAGGGAAAGACTGTGGAAATCTATGACTATGAAAGCTGCTCTGGATCCCTGTGATCCCTCACCTCCAAGGAGCACAGTCTGAAAAACCATAGGAGAACATCCAGACACCTCCACCTGGCATCTGAAGCCCTTTCCCCCACCCCCTGGTGCCACCCTATCCATCCAGTCGCATCTCTCCCTGTTATGCACCCTGCAGTCCAAAGCTGAATTCAATCCCTGGCCCCACTTGCCACTGACTCTTCACCTGAAAGGCCCTTCACCCTGCCTAGATCAAATCATTCCCTGTCTGCTGTTGAATTTCCACCTGTTCTTCAAGACCCTACTGCTCAAATCTCTTCTCCACCTCCACAAGTTTCTGGTGCAGGCATCTGCCTCTTAGAACACCCAGGGAGCCTCCCTCTCCTCCAAACCTCACAGCACTTCCTACCTTTTACTGTGGTTATTTATGTACTTGTCTGGTCTCCCTGTTAGCCGGTAAATTCCTTAAGGGCAGAAACTGTCTTCTTTATCTTTGTCTCCCTGGCAGTTCCCAGCAGTGGCTTGAACACAGAAGGGGCTGAATAAATATTTATTTGTTGGATACCTTTATTGAGTATTGGTTACAAGTCCTAGTATTGTACTAGGTAATCAGGTTGCATGGTAAAGGACTGGTCCCTGCCCTCAGCAAGACTTTGGTCTGAAAGAAAACAAAATATGCAAATTGATTAATTGTGATACAGAGAAAAAGTGCAGAATGATGGATCTGAGCACCTCAGAAGTCAGTGCTAGAAACCAGCTTAGGGATGGTCAAAGGAGGCTTCCTAGGGGAGGTGTCACCTGAGAGAAGTCAGAGAATTGACTCCTGCCAGGCAGAGTACGTGAGGAATAGCACAGCAGACAGAGGGAACAGAGGGTGCAAAGGCACAGGTGACAGGGGGGACATGGCCAGAGATAGGGGTTGAGGAGTAGGAGGAGATGGCTCAAGAGCAGGAAGGGGCAGATAATTCCAGACACTATGAGAGGAAGAAAACTTATGGGAATATTAAATGGGGAAGGGTGAAGGGAAACACCCCATGGAGAAGAGGAACGAGCTGCAAAGAGGCAAAATGGGTAACATGAGGGAAGAGGGAGCTGTGAGATCTTGAACAGGATTTTTCCTTCTCTGAACCTCAGTCTTTTCATCAATAATTGTGTGGTTTGAAGTCCCCTTTCCAGCACTGATTTAGAGATGCCAGTGGAGCATCAGCCAGACAACTTCTAGCCAATCACTGCAGTGCCAAGAGAGACTAGGAACAGTAGGGCCCAGGCTTTTAGGGGCCCTTAGAGCAGGGCAGAGCCAATCAGGGAGGGCTCCATGGGTTGGGGAGAGGGAATTCCCACATTTGCTCTTTACAACACCCATGTGAAGGAGGGTATGTTGAGGAAGTTGAGGCTCAAAGATCAGGAACTTGAATCTGAGGCCATGATTTTGATCCTCTGAGTCTGTCCCCAACTGACAGACAGATCTCACCCTCCAGAGCCTCCCATCTCCCACCTCCCTACTTGGGAAACTGGCCCAAGCCTCATAGTCATCTGTGTACCTTACAATTCTCTTGTTTAGGTCCCATCACCAACTGGGCCAGAAAGCGAAGGGGTTGTTAGCCTTCTTCTGGCTCCCACTGTCCCAGTCTGCTGGGGTGGGGGTGAGGGACTTTCAGCATTAAGTGTGTGACAGGCCTGAGCAAACCAGGACAAGTTGGTACTCCACATTCCATATGTGGTTGACCAAAGTCCAGATCACCCCTCACAGGGCACAGAGCCCTAGTCCCCAAGTCTATGCCATCCCACAAGGCACACGCACCTTGCAGCCTGAGGCCTCCCTTTCCCAAGCGCCCGGTTCTCAAGGCTTCCCACGGCCTGGCCTGAGCTGGGCCCACTGAAGAGTCCCATGAAAACTTGAGATCACTTGTAACTGAGTCAGGGAAACTGCACGAAGCAGGCTCAACACCTCGGGACAATATGGGCTCCTTTTCCAGAGCCAGACACCCCAACCCTGCATGGAATGTGCTCCTAAGCAGGTTGCTTCACTCTCTCCTCCCCAACAGGAGACTTCCTGAGGGGGGCTCACCTCACATGACCCAGGTGTGCAGTGCAGTCCCGGCTGCCCCACTTTGGGGCCAGCATCTGAGTTCCAAATTCACTCTGCCACCAAATCTCCAGGACAAATCCCTTTTCTTCCCTAGGCCTCAGTTAAAATGGAGACCAGCAGAGGACTCACCTGCCCTCAGGTGGGGGAATCCCTTAGTCAACAGTGCACTGTGTCCCACAAGAAAGCCCTATGTTCACAGGCACGCCCAGCTGCTTTCAGGTCTAGAAACCTAGTTCAGTTGCTCGATATATCTGGTCCCACTTCCAGGCTCCGTCCAGTGTTCTGGGAAATGAGCCCAGGGTCAGGGAAATCAGGAGGGCCAGGCCGAGGAGCCTAGTCCCTGCTATGTGTGTGTCCTTGGGTGCTAGAGTCTCTTAGACCCCTGAGCTGTGGTTCCTTCATGAGCAAAAACAGAGATGCTATTTGCCCCGGGGTTGGACATACAGGTGTGACACAGCCTGGACCTCAAGATCCCCAGGCAGCCTCTAAATAGGAGCTGGGGCCCTGCTGGCCCCTCCTCCCCCTTTGGGGACCTGCTGTTGCCCAGGGGCTTCATGGGCTAGAGGGGTGACATGGTTTCCCGGCTGTCCCCAGAGCTCCCCCTCCTAAGGCCCATTTCCAAATCTACCCCCACCCACTATAGGCCTCTCTCTCTCTCTCTCTCTCTCTCTCTCACACACACACATACACACACACACACATACACACACTCTTTTTTTTTTTTTTTTCCACACACTCTTTCTTTTTCCGTTGTTTGCAGCTAATTGTTTATTAGGAGATGCAGGCGGCTGCGCCAGTGGGAAGGCTCAGCTTGCTCCGCTATAATTAGGATAATGCACATTAGTCATTTAGTGTAACTCAGAGAACAGCCCCTCCCCCGCTGCTCCTGCTGCAGCTCACTTAGCTCTCAGGCCAGTGCTGAAAGGGTTTGCACAGCCCCAAAGCCCTGGACCACTCCCAAACCTAGGCACCCTCCTACTCTTACTTCCCCTCCCCCCCCACCTCTTCCTCCTCACCCTTCTATCCTACTGGCCACCCCACCAGAATGGTGTCGCCTACCTGCTTTCTCCCTCTCCACTCTCACCTCCTGTTTTCTGTCTCCTTCTTCCACCTCTCTTTCTCTCCTTTTATCACCCTCCCCCAACCAGCTTCCTCATCCTTGTCTTCTTTTCCCTCTTTCTCTCTACCTCCCCCCAACCCTCCCTGTAGCCTGCAGCAGATGGGGGTTAGGCAGGCCAGCAGAGGCGGTCAGGCCTGCTTTCCAGGCCGAGTGTTTGATGTGGCCCTGTGGGAGGGTCCAGGCCCACCTCCCTGCAGGCTGCTGCCTCCCCTCTTCCCTGCCCCCAGCATTTGTGCTGGTGGAGGACTGGGCTGGCAGAGGCAGGCCTTTGTCTCCAGAAGGCCCTTCCCAACAGCACATCAGTGTGGTTCCATGGCCCACTTCCCCAATTTGCTCACAGTCTTCCTGAAATCCAAGGAACAGGGCCCCACAGGAGGTTAATTGTCTGGAGAAGCTTAGGGCTCCCACAGGGCTGGCTGGAGTGCAGAGCCCTCTGCCTCATGAGGCCTGGATCAGGCGGGGAGTGTCCATTAGTCCTCTAAGAGCAAAGGAGCCATTCCAACAGATTCCTACTGTCTCAAGCCTCACAGCCACTGGTAGACTCCAGGCGTGGTGACAGACAAACCTCCTGACTCCTATTCCTCCATCTCTGAATCCCCTTCCTGACCTTTCCACATAATAAGATTTTATATCAGGCCATTAATCTGGGCAGACTGTGCTCTAGGGTCAGTTGTTGCTGGGGACAGTGGGGAGGATGGGGGTCCCCTATGAGTTTTCAGGAGCTGTTCCAGGGGTAAGGGATGCGGCCTGGAAATACAAGGTCTTTTTATCCTCACAAGCCTGTTTGAGCCTTGGCCCCAATCCTGAGATCCCAGATGCAGAAAGACTAATGGACAGACACCTAGGGCCAGCTCACACAACAGGCACCAGGGGCATCCCTTGGCAGGGCGTCAGACCCCACAGCTGATAGCACTTCTGTCCTGGGCTTCTCTCCCCAGGAGCCCTGAGTGTATTCCCCAGGTTCCCCTCCTAGGGCTGCTGTCACGACTTCTACATCTTTTTTTTTTTTTTCCCAAAGATAAATTTTTTTTAAAGATTTTTATTTATTTATGCATATAAGAACTGGGGTACAGGCCAGAGGTGTGGAGGATGGGGAACAGGCAAACAGACCGAAATACACTGCTGAGGGGAGCAGTGGGCGAGTCCAGAGAGGTCTGCTGCACCATGTGGGTAGCTGGGATTGTTAGGGGAAAAGGATGTCCTAAAGCTAATTCCACACAGGCTTTGTGGACTCCACCCCCACCCCAGGCCAAAGCCAAAGACACTGGGAACTCCAAATCCCATCACCACCCAAGGGAAGGTGGCTGGGACCTGAGGGTGGGGTTAAGCAGCCAGGTTGGTATAAAGCCAGACACGTGGGATTTGGGGGTCCCCCATTTTGGCTCTCCGCCAGCTAGCAGTGTCCGGCCAGCTCTGAGTGACTTTGGGTTTCCGGGTCGGCGGATCGGGTAGGACGCATTAAAGACTTTATTTCCCTATTTTCTCCCTGAGTTGTACATTTTCCTTATTTCCTTTTCCCTTGTAAATAAACCTTTTATTAACCTTTTGTGTGTGTCTGTAGTGGAGTATTCATAAGTCCCTTTTAACCGCGCGGGTGAGGACCCACAGCCAGAAACCCGTTCAATATCGGGGCTGTCCTATAACAGCTTGGCGCCCAACATCGTCCTATAACAGGATCAAACCCGCACTGCAGTGGCTGTGGAGAGCTTCATAGGTTGTGTCTTAACCCCCTGTGCCACCAGGGAGGCCCGTGACTTCTACATCTTGAGGTCCCTGCCCCCAAGAGGGTGACATCACTTCCTCCCAGGCATCCCCTTCTCATTACCCCCTCCAGCCTGGACCCAAGGCTCCACAGCCCCAGTTCATGTGTAGCTACAGCATCCCACGAGAGCAGTCTGGAGGGGAATGAGTGACCCTGGCCTGGCTGGCCTCTTGGGGCCAGGAAACCAGTCCTCACTCTGCCCTTGCCATCACTTCCCTCTGAGAGTGAGGCTCTGAGGGCCTCCGTGGAGGTGCCCCTGCAACCAGCCGGAAGCCAGGAAACAAGAGCCCTGCTTTCTCCTGGGGTCTATCTACTTTGCCCCCTAGTGCTGTCAGGGAGCATTCCTAGCCCCCAGATTAGCTGAGGTTGGTTCATTCTTTCACTCACCAATATTCACTGCTCCCCCTCTTCTCTTCCTCCACCTGCAACCCTGATTTCCTCCCTTATTCTCAAAGATGAGAGGTGGCGACTGAGCGGCAATGTCTGCTGTGGCTGCAGGAAGGAGTTTAGGCTGAGGGAACAAAAGGAGTGGCCAGATTAGGACAGGTGTCCCAGCCAGGGGGTGCCTGCAGGAGGAGGACTGTTTGTGCGGGTGTGTGCCTGTGTGAGCGTGTGAGCGGTGAATGTGTGTGTGTGCATGTGTGTTAGCAAGCACAACCTCCCAGGGCCGCCCCTATCATTCTTTCATTCATTCGTGACTCTGTGGCTGGGAGCCAGGGAGGTAAAGACAGCAACAGGGCCCTGCCCTGAGGGCCAGGTCAGTCGGTGTCGAGAAGGTGAGAGTTGGGGTTCATATGTATCAGGGAGGGGAGCTGTCACTGTGTCTCAAAGGATCTCTGGGCCCAACTTAGGAGGCTGTGTGGGGACCCACTCAGTGCTAATGATAAGAACACCCAAACAATAGCTAACCTTTAAAGAGGGCTACCTGTGTGCCAGGCATGGTGGAAGCGCTGCACAGGCCATCTTAGCCTGTACCTTTCCTTTTCAGGAAAACCCAGAGAAAGAGGGGCAGCTGCCACCTCATTTTACCTTTTAGGAAACTGAGGTGAAGGACTGCTAAGCTGCTCGCCCAACATCACACAGCTAATAAATGGCAGAGCCATTTAGAGGAGGCCCTTGGTTTTCTCTTTAAAGTGTGTGGAAGAGACCCGAACTTCCCTAAGCCAGGAGAAAGGAAGATCCCAAGCAGAGGGCAGGGATTGACCCAGCCAATCAGCAGTGTTGCTGGGAGTGAGCTGGCAGGAGGCCTCTTGGGAGGGGGATTTAGGGCCCAGTGGGGAGGGGCCCCTCCTGCTAGCTCCTCCCCAAAGCTCCTGTGCTACAACATTATGTTCCAGTCAGGGAGAGGGTGGGAGTAGGCTCTACCGGGAAGCTGCCTCACCGGGATTTACTGCCTCCAAGGAAGCCAGCCAGAGCCTTGGGGGCAGGGGCTGCTGGTGGATTCAGTGCCCTTCTCCGCACCCACCACCCACCAGGAGAGTGGTTAGTTATTGCATATTCACTGGATACAAGTCCTGGCCCTGGAATTCAGGCTGCAGGCACACAGGGAAGGGGAGCCTCAGGGTGATGGGGGGACACAGCCCTGCTTTATGAAGGGGCATAGGGAACTGATGGAGGAGGAAGGTACACCAGGGACAGGGTGGGGTGGATATCTTTCTCAGGTCCCAGGCTTAAGGAATCCATTCCTCCATTGGGCTTCTGGACTTCTCACAGCTTCAGCCTGGGCGTGGGGGGATGGGGGTATAGACCAACCTATACAGGGGCATCTCTGTCAGCTTGGAAGAAGACAGAAACAGCCCCATACTGGTCAGACTTGATGAGCAGAACTGGGTGTTAGTCTCTGCTGGCTCCAGTATCTTTGTGCAAGACCAAATGTCTGAGCAATACACAGAGGCCCCGCCCTAGAGGGTGGAGAGGGCAGTGCTTGAGGACTGCTGGGTCCGCTGTCACCTTCCTTTACGCAGCTGCCCTGCCTAGACCAGAAGCCCTTGGAATCCCTGTCCATCCCTAGGCTCCTCTGTGACAGGCAAGATAGGAATTATCCTCTTCTTCCAGATGAGAAAACTCAGGCCTAGAGAGGTGAGGAAACTGTCCAAGGTCACACAGTGGGATAGGGGCAAAGCTTCTAACCACTACTCCAGTGGATTGAATCCCAGGGGCCCCAACAACTACTTCCAGCTTTTGAGCTACTTTTGAGGTTCTTAGGACTCTCTGCTTCATGCGTCTGTCATGTCTGTACTTGTCCTATTTAACTTGACAGACTTTGACAGAGGCCCTGCCCTGAGCTAAACAATGTAGGAAGTGCTACAAAACAAAGCAAAAAACAACAATAACAAAAAAAAAACAAACCCAAAAACCAGGTCAGCACTTTCCTTCTCTGACAACTAAATAACCAGTAAGTTGCATGAATGACTGAACACTGAACACCGACTCAGTACCAGAGCCTAAAGCAGGCAATTTGCTTATTTAGTCCTATGAGATAGGCTTATGATCCTTGTTGTAAGGGCATGAAAATTGAAGCTCAGAGAGGGTAAGTAACTTGCCCAAGGTCACACAGCCCAGAATTATCAGAGCTGGGATTTGAATGTAAATTTGTATGCCTTAAAACCATACAGGTTCTTTCTTTTGATAATTTCCTTTCTCTTGTTTTTTATTTTTTTTTAAATTCTTGGAATAGCTTCAAATACTTTCCTTCATTTTTAATGACATTTATTGTTTCCTTTCTAATTTTACAAACAATCCAGGTTCATTGCAGGAAACTGGGAAATACATAAAAGCATAAAGTAAAAAATAACAATCACCCTTGATTTCCCCCCACCCCCCACCCCAAGATAATCACCATTAGCACTTGGGTGCATTTCCTCTCAGCATCTACCTATTTCATATAAAATTGGTATCATGCCATATAGTCCCTTTTGCACCCTGCTTTGTTTGGCTCAAACTATTTTGTGAACATTTTCCCATCTGAGTAAATATTTTTTGAAAATTTGATCTTTATCGACTGCCTGTATCCATTCTTAGGCACTTGCTTTTATTTCACCATACTCTTTTTCTAGACATCCAGGTTGCTTCTAATTACCAGTAAATCTAGCATTGCAGTGACTATCTTTCTATATAGAGCTTTGAGCAGATTTCTGCTATTAGATTCCCAGAGAAGGGAGTTACTATGCCAAGGAGCATGAACAGTTTCCAGGCCTTTAAATCATATTTTGACATTGCTTTCTAGAAAACTTACCCAGTTTACCCTCTGATAGTAGGGCATGTGAATGCCCCAGTTCTTAAAACCCTAGCTAACACTGAGTATCAAAATTAAACAATATTCTTTCTCAAGACAGATTTTTTTCCCACTTCAACACCCCTCCTGCTGCATGGTTAATAATTCCATTTTGCCAATGGCAAAACAGCCTCAGAGAGCAGAGATGACGTGCTTGCCTTGGTCAGTTTCGCCCATTAGCCAAGGAAGAGTGGGACTGACACCAGGCATCTCTTTTGCCTAGCAGAGCCTTCGTCACTCACCCTGAGTGGAGAGCTTCCACTCCAGGGGCCTTTGCCCCATAGGTCACACCACTCTGGTGGGCCTGGAGGTCTAGGTTGGGGAGTCACTCTGCATAGATCATCCCTGGCCTTTTGCTCATGGACTATATGGCCCCTAGGATCTCCACCAGCTACCTGTATCCACCATGGCTCTTGCGCCCTCTCATTCATCTCATTCATTCATCTCTTTGTAGACTTGGCACCTGTGTGTGCTAGATGCTGTTCTAGGACCTGGGTGCTTCCTCATTCACTCTCAGCCATACCACCTTATGCCATGCAGGTCACAGCCCCTTTAGCATCTCCTAATCCTTCCTGCTTTGCACTGTATCTTACAGACTTCTGCGATGATGATGCCTGGGATGCTTGATAAACATACAGATCACCAGGTCTCTCCCCTGGAAATTTTGATTGTATAAATTTGGGGTCCTGCCCTAGAATCTGTTTGCTATTTTTCTGTTTGCTCCAGTGGCTGATTCTTACATTCAGGCAAGCTCAGGAGAAAGTGCTGAAAGATCCCCCAGCACTGACATGTTCTTGTATGGCTGACACTGGTATGGCTCTTGTACACACACATACACACACACACATGTGCATGTTTGCACATACAATGGAGCAGATCAAGCCCTCTCCTAGCACAGTCCAGCACCCTCAGGCCCTCTCAGTGTGCCCTGCTGTGCCCCACAGCCTCAGACTCACCAAAGCTAATGGCAATCTTTTTTTTTTTTTCTGATTTGCAAGTGATTAGTTTTAATTTGGGGACAATTAGAGGTAGAAGCAAGAGGCATCTGATCTTGATTAGAATCAGGAAGATGGCCAGAGGCGCCCCCACTCCCAGCTGACCTGACCCTAGACTCCACAGATTCGTATATCTATACACACACACACACACACACACACACACACACACACGTATATATTCAGTAAGGTGGAAAAGGGGGGCTGGTCTCTGTGCTGGATATCTGGAGAAAGTGCAAAGATATCTGGGAGGGGAGCAAGTTCTCGCTGTGGGCCCAGATTTGTCACACCAACCTGAGATGGAACGAGAGGGCCTCTGTTCAGCCATTTGCCCTAAGTAGGTGCCTCCATCTTTGTAAGAGCAGAAGTGACACTTGCTAAGCTTGCACTGTGTGCCTCACCTTGAACTGTGCAAAGCTGTCCAGATCCAGTGTCAGTCCATATCCTAATTCAGCTGGAAAGACATGAACAAAAAAAAAAAAAAGCATGAACAAGATCATGCCCTCTGGAGCTAGAGGTAGCTTGAGAGGACTTGCCTGGGGGAATACCCCCCAGGGGGCATTCCCGGAAGTGACTAATGAGCCAACTCACTGAGAATCTGAATCTCTTACATGCACCAGGGCCAAGCTCCTGATCAGAGGCAGAACTGGACAGAGCAAAGCAGCAGCAAAGCACCTCCTAGGTGGGAGCAGTGTTGAAAGAGCTGGACATGCCCTCCGGGGACTGTGGGAGAAAAGTGCTGGTGCAGCTGGGAAAGGCCACATGCTAGGTCCACCCTGGGAATGCCTCAGCCACCATGATTATCCCTATATGCAGAAACTATGATCCTAGCCTGTCTTTCTTCCCTCACATGGTGTCTCCACATCTTAACAAGGAAATTGAGACTGTGAGGAGCAGAAATAGCCCAACCCATTATGTTAGTCTGCTAGGGTAGCCATAACCATGTCCCATAGACCGGATGGCTAAAGAAACAGAAATGTACTATATTATACTTCTGGAAGCTGGAAGTCCAAGATCAAAGTGTTGGCAGGGCTGGTATTTTCTGAGGCCTCTCTCCTTAGCTTGCAAATGACTGTCTCCTCCCCGTGTCTTCACACTGTCTTCCCTCTGTGTGTGTCTGTCCTGATCTCGTCTGTAGGACATGGGTCATGTTAGATTCGGGCTCTCGGTTGCACTCATTACTCACTCGCCTCCCCACCCCCCGCCCAACATCCTGGCTAGGGTTAGGGAGCTCATTCAGGGAATCCCATTCATTCCACAAAGATCTATTGAGGGCAGAGGGGTGCATGTAAACACATTTCTCCAATCCCTTCCTCCACGGCTCTCTAAGTCTGCTGTCCATCTGGTGGCCCTGCCCCCGATGTTTTCCAGATGGCCAGCTGTGAGGTCGGGTCGGTGAGAGAGGGTCAAAAGGGACTAAGTGCACTTAGCAGCCTCTGGTGTCTCCTGGGGACAGTAAGCAGGGAAAGAGCAGTGGCTCTGACTTCCTGACATCCCCACCTGGCCACCAGCCTAGACAGCAAGCACATGCAGCTGACTGCAGCTGCCCCTTCCTCAGGACAAGCATGGCAGCCCCTTTCCGCCTCTACCCAGGACTCAGACCCTGCACATCCCACCGTGTGAAGTGGCGGTGCTCCTCACCCTCCTTGGTCTTTTAGCTACTCTCAAGGTCCCTCTGAGGGGATTGATGCCACCACTTCAGTTTTAGAGGTGGAGACTGAGAATCAGAATGGGAATTTATTGGGTTGTTGGCAAAATCATGACATCGTTTTTCTATGTTTTCCAAGCAAAAATGAGTCATGACTTTTCTGACAACCCAATACTTGCCCAGTGAGTCTATCGCAGAGAAAAGTCTTGAACTTGAGTCCCAAAACCCCCTGCTTCCAAAAGAGTTGACTAGCTGCCACGTCCTGGCTCAGACCATTACCTGGCTCAGACCATTACATGTGTGGCCGGGGGGAGGGACACCTCTGAGACTCCTGGGGTCACTCGGGAGGAGTCTCCAGGCCAGCCAGGAAGACTCTCCAGGTATCTTCCTGTGCTCATCTTGGACGCTGCTGCCCACCTTCACCCCACCATCAGCAGCCACATCCCTGGCAGGGCTGCAGAGCACCTAGTGGGCAAGGGTGGCCTGGGAGCAGTGTTCTTCCAGGAACGGAGGGAGCTCTCTGGTCTAAGAGCAGAGGACCAGGGGCCAGTGGTCCCCTAGCTGGTCCCAAGGGCTGCTCAAGAGGGCCCCTGCTGAGGTGTGTGTGTCCAGATGCTGCTCCTCTTAAAAGACTGAGCCCTAAGGCCAATTGTCTCATTTTTTTGAATGAGGATGTTCAACCACAGCTTTAAAGAAATAAAATGTAGGGCCTCCCCGGTGGCACAGTGGGTTGAGCGCAGCGCTGTGAAGCTGTCCACAGCCTCTGCAATGCCAGTTCGATTCCCGGCTGGCCAGGGAGATTCCCACATGGCGCAGCAGACCGCTCCTATCTCATCCACTGCTCCTCTCGGCGGTGTATTTCAGTCCTTCCGCCTGTTCTGCTCCCTGCTCTGTATCTCTGGTGAAATCTCTCACCTTCCTGCACCTCTGGCCTGTACCCCAGTTCTTGCATGCATAAAATAAATAAATCTTTAAAAAAAAAAGAAATAAAATGTAGATACCAGAGCCTCAGAGCAAGGAAATTTTAGTTCATCGCATTTAATTGGGTGTGAATGTGGGACTGTCAAGCTTCACTAATGGTGGTAAGATGATAAATGCCATAAACTGCATGTAACTGCCATTGCCCTGATTATGAGTGTCCTCCTGGAGACACAGGTCTCTGGGAATCACTCCGTGTAGAACAACTTTGGTTTGTTGAAGATGTGCGCAGGTGCATGGCCTTGTAGATGACTAACTCCCACATAAGGTTGAGGTCCCCTCAGAGAAGAGCAAAGCTCTCAGGAAAGTCCCAGGATACCTCTTGAAGGGCTTCTCCGAGGAGGTAGCATTGGAGCTGGACCTTGCTGGAAGATTAAGATTTGGATATGTGCAAATAGGAAAGGAGGCAGTTTGACACTGAGGGCATAGCAGGACCAGAGGCAGGGAGATAAGTCACTAGAAAACCCCCTCAGCACTAAAGTTGCCCAGCTATGTAGTGGGGCTTGGGGAGATTCCTGGGGAAGGGCAGCCCAAATGCCTGTTATAAAGGATCCCAAATGTCACTCTCAGACACAAAGTGAGTTTGAGTTTTATTTGTGAACAGAAGGGAGAGGCTTTTTAATCATACTCACACACATTTACATTGCATTGCACGGTTCATGGAGCTCTTTCTGATTGATTCTCAAAACAAAACAAATGACAGCACAACCCCCTACAAGACCAAGTGATTATTACTCTGATTTGAAAGGTGAGATCCAGAATTGGTTCTCAAATTTTGAACCTTCATGTCTTGGGCCTTCTGTTCCTTGACTGTGTCCAGTGGGTATATAGCTCGTAGTGAAGGCCCAGAAAGGTCTGAATTGTGTCTGTGAAAAACAAATCATTCTGGCTGCCACGTTGGGGAGAGGATGATAGAGGGGGTGTGGGGGGACTAGGGAGAGGGAAGACCCACTTAGGCGGTGTTGCATTGTCATAACAATACGAGTCAGGCCAGGGGTGGGGCAAGAGCTGAGGATGGAGGACAAGGGCAGGCCAGGACAGACCTATGAGTCAGTGGGTAGAATTCTAGAACTTGGCAGAATCCTACACAGATGGGGCAAGTCACCAAGAGGAAGAAATCAAACCAGAGGCCCACATTGGATTTGGGGAACTGAAGATCCAATTCCCAGGATACATAGTTCCTGGCAGAGGGGTAGTATAGGATCCCTGGGTCCCCGTGCCATTCAAGGCAGCTGGAGCAGTGGAAGACGGGTTTGAGAGTCAAATGGCCCGGGTTTAAATCCTGCTGCCAATACCTTCTCTCGTGTGACTTGGGTAACTTCCTCAATCACCATTCTCTGCCAGATGTAAGGACAGGCTCTCCAAAGAGAAGTTATTGACAGAAAACTAGTTAAGTCAATGGAGATGAAATAAGACGATGTGAGTATCAAACAAGCTAATGCACTTCGAGGACTGAGAGCACGGTAGCGGAAAGAGTTGTACGTCTCCGCGCCACATTCCGCTCTCAGGCGACTTTGGTAAACCCTCACAACCTCATTTTGAGGCAGAAACAATTTCTATACTCACTTTACAGATGAGGACACCAGGGAGTAAAACCTCTTTAAAGCTTCACAATGCTTTGCACTGGTATTAGCTTTTCCCCAACGTTTCAGATAAAGAAATGAAACAGCAGTGAGAGGGAATTAACACTAGCAAAGAGGGGGCCAACCTTGGAGGCCAGGAAGCCCAGGCCACACAAGGATGGAGCCAGGCTGAGCACTGCCTGCTGGGAGTGGCAGGGCCTCTGTGAGGGAGGGAAGCCGGGGTGCCCTAGAATCTGCAAGCAGCCTCTCCTCATCACTGTGGGGTCTTTCTTCTGTCTGTCCCCAGCTTCTGGCCGCTCCCATGCAGCCAGCCCCAGCCCACCGGGGCCACAGGCCAACCCGGTGCTGCCCGTCAGCTACCGCCTGTCGCACACAAGACTGGCCTTCTTTCTGCGGGAGGCTCGGCCCCCACCACCTGCCGTCACCAATGGCTCCCTGCAGCGTTCTGAGCCCTTCGTTGTGTTCCAGACCAAGGAGCTACCTGTCCTCAACGTCTCCCTGGGGCCCTTCAGCACCAGCCAGGTGGTGGCCCGAGAGCTCCTGCAGCCATCCAGCACCCTGGACATCCCGGAGCGCCTGACCGTCAACTGGAAGGTGCGGGCCTTCATCGTCCGTGCCCGTGTGCCTGCCTCACAGCCCGTGGCCCAGGTGTTGTTCTACGTGGCCGGCCGGGACTGGGATGACTTTGGTGTCACAGAGCGGCTGCCCTGCGTCCGTCTGCACGCCTTCCGTGATGCTTGGGAGGTCAAGAGCTCCTGCCGCCTCAGCGGAGGCCTGGCCACCTGTCTGGTGCGGGCAGAGCTGCCCCTGGCTTGGTTTGGGCCCCCCGCCCCAGCCTCACCACCCGCTGCCCGCCACAAGTCTTCAGATGGGCTGGAGCCTGAGGCAACAGGGGAGAGCCAGCAGGCTGAGCTCTACTACACTCTCCATGCCCCAGATGCATCAGGGGGCTGTGGGGCCATGCGCCGGGGGGCCGGGCCAGGGCTGGGGGCTCGGGCTGAGAGCCCTACCCAGCACCCTCTGCTGCGCATCGGGAGCATCAGCCTGTTCCGCCCGCCCCCCAGGAGGACACTGCAGGAGCACAGGTTGGACAGCAACCTCATGATCCGCCTGCCGGATCGGCCCCTCAAGCCAGGAGAGGTGCTCAGCATCCTCCTCTACCTGGCTCCCAACTCCTCCTCTCC